GGCCCCAGGAATCAAAGGGATACCAATTGTCCAATTTCAATTAATAGATGCAGCCCTGGATGCACTTAGCAGTCTGTGCCCGGAAATTTGGAGGAAGCCTGCCTGGCCAAAGGATTGGAAGAGGTCCATATTATCATTACTATCTCATGCAAGCAAAATACTGCTGAAGATCATTCAAAAACAACTAGAACAGTACATAGATAGGAAACTGGTAGAAGTTCAGTCAGGCTGTGGCACGAGAGAGAGATATCCTTGCTGATGTCAGATGGATCCTGGCTGAAAATAAAGAATACCAGAAGAATGTCTGTGGAAGCTTTATTGACTGTGCAAAGGCAGATGGTGTGGATCATAACAAGTTATGGCTAACATTGAGAAGAATGGGAATCCCAGAGCACTTAATTATGCTCTTGTGAAACCTATACCTAAATCAGGAGGCTGTTGTATAAATAGAGCAAGGGAATGTTGTTGTTTGTTATTATAAGCTGTCACGTCACTTGAGACTCCTAGTGACCTTATGTACAACAGCCCTGAAACCTGCTTTATCCTATGCCAACTTTAGTCTCTGACACGCCACCCCTCATTACCTTAGCCGCTGTATCAATCCATCTTATGGATGGTCTCTTTACATGGTTTAAAATTAGGAAGAGAGTGTGTCAGGGTTGTATTCTCACTCCATACCTATTCAGTCTGTATGCTCAGCAAATTATTTGAGAAGCTGAACTCTTACAAAGAGGTATGTGGCATCAGGATCGGAGGGAGACTGATCAGTAACCTGTGTTATCTGGTAACACAACCTTGTTTGTCGAAAATGAGGAGGACTTGAAGCACTTGTTGCAGAAAATAAAAAAGAAATAATTACAGGCTTCACTATGGTTTACAATAATGACAAGAAGACAAAGATTCTTACCACTGGACCTACATGCAGCATCATGATAGATGGAGAAAAGATTGAAACTGTCAATTTTCTTTTACTTGGATCCACAATTAACACCCTTGTTAACAGCAGTCAGAAAATCAGGAGATGTATTGCTGTGGTAAAGTGTGCAGTTAGGGACCTCTCCAAATTATTGAGGAGTAATGATGTCTGTTTCAGGATTAAGGTGCATCTGATGCGGGCCATGGTCTTTCCAGTCACTTGCTATGCATCTGAGAGCTGGACAATGAATAAGGATGACAGAAGAATTATTGATATCTTTGCCTTTGAGTTGTGATGTTGGGAGAAGAGCACTGAACACCCTGTGGACTGCCAAAAGAATAGATAAATATGTCTTGAGAAGGGTGTAAACACAATGATCTTTGGTGGCAAAGATAAGGCTTTGCCTCACATCGTCGTGTTTCTGGGAGAGTTTATTCCTTGGAGAGGGACAGAGGAAGACCCTCAACCCAGGTGGATTTACATGGTCAGAAAGTATGAAGATGGCACAGGATAGGACAGGATTCAATTTGTTCTTCATAGGGTCACTTTGGGTTGTACACAGCTGGATGGCACCTAACAACAACGATTCACTCACACCTTTAGCCATATCCTTTATACTTGTTAGATTTATCCGAAAATTTACAGTAAAATGAGTAAATTATTTGTTAGAATTGAATTGTGTTGCTCATAATATTTGTCAGATTTTTTTAGTATTTTGTAATTTTCCTTCATATTATAACTTAATACAGTTAATCTCTGTGTTGTAAATTCCAACCTCTATGACGTTAATGAGGAAGCTCTGGTAGAGTAGTCTGAAGAGAGTTAATCTGATTCAAATCCGTCAGCTTGTCAAAGGGAGAAAGATAGACAGCTTTATCCTGTGTGATTTACAGCCATGGAAACCCCCTGGACGATTGATTGGCTATGAGTTGAACTTAATCACCAGCAATAGTATGATGTTAATGAGTCAGATTAAGAGGTAATTTTGTTGATCTCCAACAATACAATCTACAAATATGGTTTTTCTTTAGTCTTTTCATAGTCTTTTGAGACATGAAAGCGATTATACACATGAGCTGAAATGGAGGGAGCACCTATGACCATGAAACAAAAGCTGCAAATGGAGCATGGTCCTTTTGCTGGGAACCTCCTAGCCAAAGAAAGATCAGTGCCAAGATGCATGTAACTCTGCAAGGAATGCAGAGCCATATAGTGTTGCAAAGAAAACAGAGACCTTCCTCTTCAGCTGATGAGAGAAGACCTTCTCCTAGAGCTGACACTCTGAAATTGTCTTTTAAACTCTGAGAGGATAAAGTTCTGTTTTCTAAGCAGTCCACTTGTGGTATTTCTATTATTGCAACACTAGATAATGCAGACAGATTTTGGTACTAAGAGTAAAGTGCTTTTTCTAAAAAATACTTAAAACATGGAAGCCTTTTTGGATTTGGATAATGAGTCAGGGCTGAAAGAGAGGCCTGGTAATACAGTGTGCAGTGTATTGGCCTGCAAACAAATGGTCAGCAGTTCAGATCCACCAGCTGCTGCTGCTCCACGGGAGTAGTATGGACATTCTCCTACTGTAAAAGATTTGTAAAAAAGAAAAAAAAAAAGATTTGTAGCCTCAGAAACTTGGTGGAAGGTCAATGTGAGTTTTGGTATTAGTAGTAAAAGCCTAGATTGCCTTGAATGAAAGTTTGGTTCCTTAATGGTAAAGAGTTGCACTGACATTCTTAAGAGAAACTATTCAAATCCACCAGCTCCTCCATAGGAGAAAGATAGGCTAGCTCCTCCTGTGCCATTTACAGCCTCTGCAAATCCACTGGAAGGTAAGCTTTGGGTCTCTGTTCCATCTCAGTGGTATAGGATACAAAGAATGTTAATGGAAATTATGGAGCTCTGGTGGCCTAGTGGCAAGAAGTTGTGCTACAGTCCTGAAGGTATGCAGTTTCCAGACCACTAGCTGCTCTGTGGGAGAAGGATGAGCTGTTGAGTCCTCCCATGCTATTAAATGCCTCTAAAAACCTGCTGGAGGGTCAGCTACAGATTGGATCAGACTTGACAACACAAAGAAAGTTATGGTGAAGGGCTCAAAGGAAGTGAGAAGCAGTAACACCAGAGAGCTGATGATGAGAAGCAGTAGCCACAGAGAAATAGAAATGGCAGAACCAAAGAAAGATGGTTCTAGAGTTAATTCTCAGTGAGCGAGATGCCTTTGGGCAGGGTAACTCTTGGAAGAGTTGGGTTTCTCCAAGAGCTTTAAGCAGCTTGTGGCATCTGTTGTAAAACCACTAGATGACGCTAAGATAATTTTCAGGAAAAACAAAGCCTAGAAAACCTGATTTACTAAATAAGAAAATATACTATATTTCATTTACATGAATGTAGTATTGATTTTGAAGTAAAATTTTAAATCTTGTTTCAACAGCTCATAACTTGCCTTAATTAAGCAAGCTACTTAATTTCTGTAAATATCTGTCTTTATATATTTTAATACTTTTGTACTAAGAGCTTTAAATATTTAAGAATGCACTAATCAAAAGATGAATTGCACTGGGAAAATCTTCTGTCAGGGACCCCTCCATTCAAGACTCTCTTAGTCTAGAGACTAAGGAGTGCCGAATTCAGGCCATGGTCTTCTCAGTTGTTTGCTGTGCATCTGAGAGCTGGACATTGAATTAATTAGAATTACAGAAAAATCATTGATGCCTTTGAGTTGTGGTGCTAGAGAAGAGTATGAACATGCCGTTGACTGCAAAAGCTCATCTCTCCTGGAGAGGGTGAAACCAGTTTGATTCTTGGAGTAATGGATTTTGAAGTTCCATGTCTCATATGTTGGGCATGTTGCTGGGAGGGACCAGACCTTGGAGAAGACATGATGCTTGGAAGGTGCAAAAGAAGCAGATGCAACACGAGGTGATAAAAGTCTGACATCTGCTTCCTTCATAATGGGAACTCTCTCCATCAGTAATATTCATAGCACCAGACACATAGCTTCATTGTCAGACATACCACTCCACATCCTCCTGCACTGATTTCTACCAATCTTTGGGGGTGATGTTCACTGCAAAGCTCATAGACTCTACTAAGAGTTGTGGGGCTTATTGGGGTAATAGATTGTGAGTGAGTGAGTAAAAAAATAATCACACAAATGCAAGTCCAGTTTTAGTCAAGTAGTCCCAAACCAAATGAACAGCAAGACACAATTCCTCAATCAGTTCCCACAGCTTCTCGCTCGACAAGGGAAAGTCTAGGTTCCAGATCATCACAAATTCAAGAAGCCTCTGGTTTCCTCCATCATCCAGCACACTTGATCTCAGAACAGTTACAAGTCAGTTTTTCCTTGAGTTGTTCAACAAGCAAACCTTTAACTGTGGCTCTGTCTCCATGATTCCTCCACTTTATTTTCAAGCAATTCCATAGTCACTTCACCCTCTTTCTACCACCATCATTGTCCTACCTCAAAATGTGAAATATGCTTTTATATTAGTCTCACAGCAGTTGATGATCATGTGTCCGTAGTTAAGATAGATGGAGATCATTCCCTCTCCTCCCTCACTAAGGCTAATGCAATGGCTAGAAAAACCAATTTTCAAGGGTTTTGACACCCTAGAAAGGTAAAGGGTCAACGTAGAAGAGGAGGACCCTAGATGAAATGACACAGTGACTGTGGCAGTGCAATCAAGTATGTCAGTTTTAGTGGTTTTTTTTTAGCTCAGGATAGGGCAAGGTTCTGAGCCATTGTTCATAGGGTTTCTGTGAATTGTAGTCGGCAGCACTTAACACCAATAATGACAGAAATCTAATAATTTTCAAAAAGTTAGCAACAATACTGCCAATAAAGTTATGAGGGGGACTGAGTCTTTGTAGAATATTAAGAACAGCTGTAGAGATACAAAACCAATTAACTGATTTTATATTTCCCCAAATTATTTACAAAGGAAGTTTTGGAAGAAACTAGGCTATATGTTACAAACTCTATTTAATAGAGTTTGTTTTATTGAGAATAATTTTTTGATTTTTTAAAAAAATCCTACAAAAAGACCTTATTGGAACAGAATGGGTCACCATATAACTTAGCCTTTAATTTACAATAGAGTTTCTAGTTTAGCTCAATTACAAGGAAATAGAGAATGCATTTATTCACTGATTGTGACATGCCTAGTATATATTAGATCCTTAAGTGCTGTGACATGCACGACAATTGAACTAAGTCTCTATTCACTGAGGGAGATATAATAAAATAGTTAATAGTTTCCTTTGAGTCAACATTTATTTATAATAACCTCTGTAGAACAGATCAAAACCTTACACAAATGTGACTCAGTGATGATTGCCAGCTTTACAATCTTCCATGTGCTTAACTCCATTTTACAGTTAATGTGTCAGTTCGTCTTGAGAGTTTTCTTTCATTGACCTTCCATCTTTCTAAGTACAAAATAAATATCTGATTGTATTAAGCAAGTTGAAGGTATTGAATTATAGTTGGGCTCGATGATCTTCATAAAATATCAGCCACTCCTGATGGTGATATTCTCCAGAACTTCATTTGACACTAAGTATTAAACAGAATTTAGAGAAATGAAAATATATTTTTTAAAAAAAAAAATTGGATAAAGGCATTGGACAGGACATAGGTGTATTCTACAGTATAAATAAAATTTTACTTTATACTTTGTGTCTTGTGGTACTATGGTTTTTAAAAATTATTAGCTAAAATTATTTTAAGGTTGGTAATACTTTTTACCTTTTCTATCAGATCACTAAAATGCTGAATTTTGATTTCTGTTGTGGCAACAAATTAAAAGAGAGATTGTCAGAAATATATATTTTTTTAAAAAATATATTATTTATAATGTTACTTCAACTTATGTTTTATAGGCAGAAGCAACAAATAACCCACCTACACGAGAGGATAAGAGATAATGAATTACGAGCACAGCATGCCATATTAGGACATTATGTAAATTGCGAGGATTCTTATGTGGCTAGTTTACAGGTAAGACCTCATGGATTTTATAGTTGTTGTTAGATAATGAAAATATGAAATTTTTCTTTTCTTTCAAATTTGGACAACAACCATTTGGCTAACTGACCGGAAGAGATCTATATTTGTTCCCATCCCAAAGAAGGGTGACCCAATAGAGTGTGGAAACTATAGAACAATATCATTGATTTCACATGCAAGCAAGATTCTACTGAAAATTATCCAAAAATGACTGGAACAGCACATCAGCAGAAAACTGTCCAGGCTGGGTTTAGAAGGGGTCGTGGTACTAGGACTCTTGTAGGTAATGTTAGATGGATCTTAGTTGAAAGCAGGGAATACCAGAGGAATGTCTGTGTTTCATTGATTATGCAAAGGTGTTTGACTGTGTGGATCGTAACAAACTGTGGCTGACTCTGAGAAGAATGGGAATCCCAGAACACTTGATCGTGCTAATGTGAAACCTATGCTTGGACCAGGAGGCAGTCGTCAGAACAGAGAAAGGAAACACTGCATGGTTAAAAATTGGGAAGGGCATATGCTAGGGATGTGTCCTATCTCCATACCTTTTCCTTTTCAACCTGTATGCAGAACAGATCATCCAGGAGGCTGGTCCTTATGAAGAGAAATGTCGGGTCAAGATTGGTGGAAGATCTATCAACAATCTGCGATATGCAGATGACACAAATTGGTGGAAGATCTATCAACAATCTGTGATATGCAGATGACACAACCCTGCTTGCTGAAACTGAGGAGGACCTGAAGTGCTTGCTGCAAAGGGTCAAGGACTGCAGCCTGCAATATGGACTGAGACTCAATGTCAAGAAAACAAAGATTCTCACCACTGGGCCAATTGCCAGCATCAGGATGGATGGTGAAGAGATTGAGATAGTTCACAGCTTTAGTCTGCTTGGCTCCACAGTCAACACTCTCGGTACCAGTAGCCAGGAAATTAAAAGATGTATTGCCATGGGAAAGTCTGCTTTTAGGGACCTGTCCAAAGTATTGAAGAGCAATGGTGTCTCTCTGGAGACTAAGGTGCATCTGATACAGGCCATGGCCTTTGCTATCACTTGTTATGCATCAGGGAGTTGGACAACGACTAAGGAGGATAGAAGGAGAATTGATGTCTTTGAGCTTTGGTGCTGGAGCCCTGGTGCTGTGGTATAACATGTTGATCTATTAACTGAAAGATTGGTGATTCAGATCTACCAGTTGCTTTTTGGTAGACAGGTCAGCCTCATTGGAAACTCAGTTGGTGGTTGGTTTTTTGGGTTGTTTTGTTTTTTATAGTTATATATTATAATGGAAGATGAGTTTCTTTTATATAATTAATTCTGATATTCTCTTAAGATGATGTTGGGCCACTTTTTATAAATTTAAGATTCATCTATGCTTTCATAAATTATCTTTTCAAATCTTATCTTTTCCTGTTGTTGTTGTTAGGTGCCGTCGAGTCGCTTGCAACTCATAGAGACCCTATGTACAACAGCCCTAAGCCCTGCTCTATCCTGCGCCAATTGCACTGCCTCTGAGACACCCATCCCAATTACCCCAGTCACTGAATCAATCCACCTCATAGAGGGTCTTCCCCTCCTGCGCTGTCCCTCCACCCTCCCAAGCATGATGTCCCTCTCCAAAGACCTGTCCCTCCTTACAACATGTCCGAAGTATGTCAGATGAAGCCCCAGAATCCTTGCCTCCAAGGAGTAGCCTGATTTAACCCTCTCAAGGATAAATCTGTTTGTTTTCTTGGCAGTCCACGGTGCATTCAATACATTCAATTTGAGCACCACAGCTCAAAGGCATCAATTCTCCTTCTATCCTCCCTAGTCATTGTCCAACTCTCTGATGCATAACAAGTGATTGCAAAGACTTTTCCTGTTAGTTTTGGTAATTCTTGTTCACTGATTAGTAATTTTTACTAGTTTTATTTACTGATAGGATAATTCTTAATTTTCTATAAAGATTTATAGCCTTGGAAACCTGATTCTGGGTCATATGAATCAGAATTGACTTAATGGCAGTGTTGTTAGTAAGTAGTGTAATTCATTTGGAAAATATTTTTAGTAAAACTATTCCATTTCCTCTTGTAACTTTTTCATTCTGAAAAAAAAATTTTATTTCAGTTACACAGTTACTGTCATAAACCAAAAACATGTAAAGCTTGGTGTACAATTGAATAGTAAAATATTCTTGACATAGCAGCAGACCAGTAATAAAGGGCTCTCCAGGTCAACCTGCAAACATAGATGTGCAAGGACAGATGAAAGTTTCTGATAGAACATGTGAAAGGGACTACTAAATAGTTAAAGGATTTTAAATTATGTTGGACATAGAAATAGTGTTTGAAATTTAAAAAGATGAAGAGCAATTCATTAAAGGAAATATAGTGAAAATTGTCTGTATTAAAATATGATAATAAACAGAAAAGACAAGCATTTATTGTTAGATAACTAATGAAATGGCAAAAGTTAGAAGAAACATATTTGATAACAAATATTTATTTTGAAAAAGGAATTTTTACCTAGGATCTATAAACCATTTTTTAATGCACATTTTATGTGTAGATTTTGTGATCCATAGGTTATTCATTGCAATGAATTCTTTAGGACAAAAAAAGTAATCTTAAAAATTTTGTGCATTATGTTTTTGTTGGTGTTAAGTGCTGTCGTTGCCTGTGACTCATAGCGACCCTATATATAATAGCCCTAAACTCTGTCCTAGCCTGTGCCAGTCTCATCATCTCTGACACACTCACCTCCATTTCCCCAGTCATTGAATTAGTTCGTCTCATCGAGGGTCTTCCTGTCCTGCGCCGTCCCTCCACCCTCCCAAGCATGACATTCCTCTCCAAGGACTTGTCCGTCCTTGGAACATGGGCAAAGTATGTCAGATGAAGCTTCAGAATCCTTCCCTCCAAGGAGCAGCCTAGCTTTACCCTCTCCAGGACAAAACTGTTCATTTTCTTAGCAGTCCATTGTATATTCAGTACTCAATCCAGCAGCACAGCTCAAAGGCATCAATTCTCCTTCTATCATCTCTAGTCATTGTCCAGCTCTGATGCATAGCAAGTGATTGCAAAGCTGATGGCATGTATTAGGCACACCTTAGTCTCCAGACTGACATCATTGCACTTTGATACTTTAGAGAGGTTTCTAACTGCAGACTTTCCCATCACCATACGTCTTTTAATTTCCGGCTGCTGGTGCCAAGAGTGTCGACTGTGGAGCCAGGCATTACAGAACACATTGATTTTTTAATTAAAATAGCTTTGTTAAAATTTTTAGATGAAATATGTATTCTTAAGAAGTACTTCCATTGATCTCTTATAGGTAGAAAATGAGAACCAAGCCTTTATTCTAAACTCTTTATGTTTATTATATTGGTTTGCTGGTAGTTTGGCAGCACCAAAAAATAGTTTTTGCTTTTAATGCTCTCTCCTGAAATAGCAACCTGAGTTTGACAGACCTTTAAGAGGAAGGAAAAAAAAATTGTGAAGGGCACTTTCCCCTTGGAAGAAAAGGCACCGTCTTTTTCCATAGATGGGAGCTCTGGTAGCCTAGTGGTAGGGAGTTGCGTTCACCGGCTACTTCAGGAAGAGTGAGATGGGCATTCTTCTCCTGTTCGATGTACTAACTAAGAAAACCTACTGGAGGATCAGCTATGAGGGGGTTCTGACTTAATTGTACATAACAACAACATGCATATTGGAAATACGAACCAAGTGATAGACTCGTTACACATGATTATTATGATTTAAATGTCATTGATGTATCACTCTTTGTTTTCTTTGGATTTATGTAGTTTCACATCACTTTTCTTTCAGCTATTTTTTTTTCCATAGAATTTCATTTTATTTTAATGAATCCTGTTTAAATAAATCCCACATTTTAACATAAGCCTGTTCAGCAAGGCAATTTTTATATAGTCTCCTGTGCTGAATGCCGGAGCCACAGAAATTAAGAACATTTCTTCATAAACTTTACAACATCCAGAGAGAAACCATATGGAAACACATGTGTTCATTTACTCCAGAATTACTGTGTTCATTGTGGTTAAGACACTGTTTATTCTCTAGGAGTATAAATGTTATTGAGATTAGTTTTGTCCTTAAGGAACATACATTCAAATGAAGAACATAGACAGTGCACAGTTGTAGTATGTTAGGAGTGTCTTTAGGTGAAATTTCATGACAGCCACCACTGAGAACATATAAACTAGTCTCCCACAGGTCAGGTTATATATTCTGTAGGACAAGAAATTTAATCTGTAAACCTGATGAACTAATGAAAATTGATACAGGTGAAAAAGGTGGTGGAATAGTATTCTAAGTATAATGCATATAAGTATGTGAAGAGGTGCAGAGTTATGAGATGAAATAATGAGTAGAAAAAACTCCAAGTTATTTTATGTTGATGAAGAGTAAAATGGAAAAAAAAGGTTTAGTGGTCAAAAACATGGTTAAAGAGGTTAGTTAGTAGGGGCCAGGCAGTATCAAGAAGGACCCCTCTCTTCAGGTTGCTTAGAATAGTTCTGGTTTATGTATCTGTTGTGGTAGAATAGTCATTATCACCATAGATACACACCTTCTTTCTAAATGCAAAGAGAGTGTAATGCAGAATGTTGTGTGCCATCAAGTTGGAGCTGACCCATACCTGACCCTCAATCAGATGTTTAGAGTCAGTTAATCGCACAGGAGGAGATTGCCCATCCTTCTTCTATGGAGCAAATGGTGGAATTGAACCATAGGCCTCTGAGGTTGTAGCACAGCTTCTTAAGTGCTAGGCCAACAGAGCTTCCTAGTGTGGGAATGACATGTAATGGAAATAGGTTGGCTCTGGTGACCTAAAGGAAGGGTGTCTGTTATGTTTGTCATATGTCAAGGAGTTCAAGTAATTAGCAACCAGATTATCAAATCATGAGTCATGAAAAGGGAAAAACCACTTGTAATTTTTAAGATCAGACAGAAAGAAGCCAGTAAAAGATATTATGTATGAGAGTAGTATGAT